CACTGTTAACATGGAGACCTCAAGACACTGTGATCAAATTCGAACAGCCACCCACATTTGAATGTCTTGAAAGCCAATGGCAATTCATTGCACCCACGGTGGGAATAGAACAACATACGACACGCCACCTGATAATGTCGTTAACCCACCACTCCATTTACCGAGCACATCCGATTACTTTTTCTGCTCGACTTCCACATGAATCCCAATAGAATCCTGCACACGTGTGCCCGTTAACCACCAAATTCATAACGCCCCACAGCACAGGAAAAAGAAACAACTCATAGATCTCCCCAGATCACTACACAGTCAATATCGATCAAATCCACCTGTCCCTCAACAATACAACTCAAGACTAACCAAGTTAACTCAAGCTAAATACGTAGCAAATTGGCCTGCCAACGAACTCATACCAAGAAGCCTAAAGCTGCTCCTTCCACTACTATAACTCTGCCGGAAGCCGTACGATAGGTGCCGGCACCAATTCAATATCAAACATCCACAAACCTCACCCGGAAAACATGCCCGGCCACAAGGAACCGCATCCGAAAAGGTCACTCAATACGGAACTAATCAATGGGTGAACCTCTGCACTGACATCCGTCGCGAAGGCCCTATTAAGGAAAGCAATCCTTCTCAGCCATCCGCTGAAATTTTTGAAATATTACCATCTTGCAGAACATTAATCCAATGCACCTCGCCACTCAACCCGGGCATTTCCGGCATAGCCCGTAGTACAATAGCTAGAATAATCCCCCAAAACATAAGACAACCAGTCTAACAATCCAATATCATATCCAAAGTCTGGCATACCAAAGCAAAGAAAGATCACACAAATCATAAGCCTGAACACGAGAAACCCTAGTCTCCAACTCCATTATAGCACACAAAATCACGTTATAACCTGATCCACAACATTGCGCCGTACGAAATACATATCATACCTCAAGTACCAATTATCCTACGAATGGTATTCTAAAGTTTCCTGTGCCATCAAACATAACTCAGATATCAACATCGATCCAAACCGCAAACACTACCAAAGTATTATCAGTTTACATCACATTGCCCTTTTTACTGAACATATACCCTCGTCGAATCACTTGGGTTGGCAATACCATTTTCCTTAATCCATTAAGATCGATTCTTTAAATCACCTGCAGCTGGGGGGCCCATGCACTGCTTAAGAATTTAATGACTTTCCATTATGAACAGAACCGTAAACTACACACACACATCCCAATCCTCCACCACATATCGCATATTACCAATACCACACTAGTATAACAATGAGAAACTCCATCTTCCCTTTCCTAACACAAAAATCTAACGTACTCCACTAGTCAAGAACCCTCCATCAATCCATCAAGAAGAGAAATCATTAAAACACCATTCCATGCTTTCGCATTGCCCAATAGGCAATTCATACGCCTCTAACACGGTAAAACTTATCAAGGAACTCTCCCCAATTCATTGAACAAGCTAAACTTCCAGGACTGAATCCTTCTACCCGAAACCAAAGCTTAAGCAAAAGCTGTCAGAACTCAAGAGCTTGTTGCACAATTACCTGCAAAGCCCATTAACCTCGAACATCA